GAGAGTATTTCTAACCTTACGGGATGTCCTCTGAATGCTCCAGGGATTTCCATATCCCGGGACGATTTCATTATGACATCCATGGGATGTTATTTTGTCCCACGTAGGATCCAAATGGGATGTCCCATGGATGATCCCTTGCTACTTGGGCCTCGACCCCAATAGCAAGGGATCATCCCATGGACGTCCCAAAAAGATCCTGACGTCCCGTGTCCCGTAACAGATATCCCATGGGCATACGAGGGATGTAGCACGAAGGACGTCCGTTTTCCTCACCTTCTGAGATCTCCTTTGGATGTTCCAGGGATATAATGTGGGACGTCCGAGGGATCATGTTAAGGTATAGCCACAGGATACCCCTCGGACCTCCCTGCACTCTGCCAAAGAAAATCTCACTGGACTTTCATCTGTTTTATATTCAACCAGTACACCCTCTTGAACACCATGTACAGATTGACGGACATTCGGATTCAAATAATACACGAATGATAAGAACTAAGTAATTAATACTAATAATAAATAAAAATAAGGGGAAAATAGAGAGGAAAATTCATAGTAGATTACAATTTTTGGGAATATATTTGTGAAGACGACAGCATTGCGAAAGCACTGTATGAAGCCAATGACAATCTTCCTTGTTTTTCCTCCTTTTTTTGTTATTTATTTCCTAGTTCTGCCTTATTTCCTTTTGTTATGCTTTGTTCCTTATGTATTCCCTTCCATGTTTCCTGGCTGTCATAGTGTCCACCGCTTTACATGCCAAAATAAACTAAACTGAAACTGCCTGTTACTGCCTGTTACAAACAAGGAAACTGGACACCGGTAGATGGCGGAATCCGCGCCATGAGCTGCGAAATCCTTCTAGTGACAGAGCAAGGCCGCAAGAGGGCCTGGTTACTTCCGTCGCTGTGTTTGTTGCATTTAATCCCGAAAACCTCGTAACTTTCCTTCAGTTATAGCTTTGCTTATCCTACCTTTAGTTTCAACTCCAACCCTTCGTAAAGTGCCACGGAGTGCAACGGCTAGATTTCCCTAGGGCAAGGATTTTTACCAATTGTATCATGGCAGACGTGTCCTCGTAGCCCTCTGACCTGTTAATTCCTTTCACTTCTCTTCTCTTACTCTTTAAGTTGTGGCTGAATAGATGCCCTGCAGAGGAAGAGCCTCAATATGATAACATTTATCTTTTTTATTATGGGTAAAGTGGAAACGGAAGAGAAACAAGACTTTTTAGAGGCCTAATATTAATTCCGGGCGTGAACTTAATCATTAATTCGAAATTAGACCAGTCGACTTATGCTGAGGAAGGGGTCCGCAAGTACCTTGTGCGCCTCCCCTTCCCCTGCATTCCCTTCTGGTCAGTGCCTATACCATGAAAATTCCCCCAGATAGGCAAAACAGTATAGTGATTCATAAGTGCTCAGGCATTAAAGGCTTGATTTGTATCAAGTTACGTTTTCGTATAAGAAAGCGTAACTTAATGCAAGGGATATAGGAAGCATAAGAAGTTATAACTTCTTATGATGCAACCAATATTCAATCAGCAAGGAGTAGGTGTAGGAATCAGGTAAGCCTAGGGACCCTTTAGCAATACTTGGCCTTTGAACTGAGGTGGTGTTGACATATGATGAGTCTACCTTGAGGTTAGTTACAATTGTGATTTATCATTGCTGTGGCCTAGTATACATCAAGGGGCATTAATGTGTAGCAAGTGGTTGCTACAGCCTAAAGTAGGCCTTTGTACCCATTTTAAGCAATCTTTGGCTTAATTTTTGTCATATTAAACAGGCACATCACTCTTGCTGATGGCCTCAGATGGAAGTAGCTCCTTTCCATTGATAATTATGCCAAACCCTTCCATTGGAATTGACATAAATAGCCTGTTCACTTCAGAGCATTTAATTTCTCTCTCTGTATGAAGCATGGAGCTTTCCTCTGTCAGGAAAGGAGATGATGTCAAAAATGTTAGCAATAATAACTTGGTAGGGCTAAAGCATACATGGATGCCATTTTAAATGCTACTAAGAGCCATTGAATTCATTCAACAGGATGGTGTAATCAATGAATAAGTTAAACACGAAGGGCTTACCATGTAGTAGGCCTCTGTGTTAATCTTACATACAGAGACTTTACGAAAAGAGAGTGGATTTGAAATCTTCTCCGTAAACGACTCAAAGAGTACAACTTCCGTACGTAAAGAACCGGTTAGACCATCACTCCACTTTTCGTTAGGAATGGCATATAATTATGACAGAAAATGCTTTGCTCTGTGTTTTTCAGTTGCTTCTAGTAGTGCCTGCTGATTGTTTCATAATGAAGAGAGCTGGTTCTTGGTCAAATGGATACGTTAACTTCTTCGAGAAGGACCGTCTTTCGGGGGGATCCTCATCATGTTGTTCTGTATCTGCACACTGTCTCTTCTGGTTCCTCGAATAGTTTCGATAATTTCGTAGTCTCTTACTACTTATAATGCATGCACATAATCAGACTGCCTCCCTATCAGGTGGTGCTACTGATGCCAATTATAGCTTAGATGTTGGGTCACATCAGTCATCTGATGATTCTATTTCAGAAGAACTAGGGAGCAGTGTCTTGTCAGCAGATCCAGTTTTTTCTGACAGATTTCTTTCTGTGACTGAGAATGAGGTGGATCCATTCCCAATTAGGTCTTTCTTTGCTGAATTTTCTGATGCTCCTTTTCCTATGGAAGTTGAGAGAGATGTTGACCTCCAAGATTCTATTGTTGTTGAGCTTTGTGATTGGGCCCTTCATGGAAATATTTCTCATAGTAGTTTGAACAATCTCCTGAAGATCTTGCAAAAGTGGATTCCAGAACTTCCTACCGATGCAAGAACCCTGCTTGGAACATATGACAAAAGGTTCCCAAGAAATGTTATAGCTGAAATGGATGGGGGTCAATATGTTCATTTTGGTCTGCATGATGGCATTATAGATGCACTTGAAAAGTGCAGGTCTTATCCAATTCCATTCCATTCATCAGTGACTCTCATGATTGGAATTGATGGTCTGCCCTTACATAAAAATTCTGTTCACCATTTTTGGCCTATCTTATGCTTCATTCCAGAACTCCAGATGCATTATCCTGTCATCATTGGAGTATGGTGTGGTGAGGGAAAGCCTATGGTAGCAAATTTTTAAAGTTCTTTTCTGTATGATCTGCTGCAATGCCAGCAAGAAGGGGTAGTCTTTGATGAGAAGCACATTGTGATTAGTGGTGTCATTTTTATCTGTGATGCTCAAGCAAGGTCCTACCTCAAGTGCATTGTGAATCACAATGGCCATCATGGTTGTGAGAGGTGTATAGAAGAGGGAGCCTACATCAAAAGGCGGATGACTTTTTGGAAACTGAAGGGTCAGAAGAGGACTGACCACTCATTTCGTAAGCAGGCAGATCGCAAGCACCATATTGGTAGATCCCCGCTTCTTATGCTCCCCATCGACCTCATTATGAGCTTCCCATTGGAATATATGCATTTAGTTCTTCTAGGAGTTGTCCGGAGACTAATCAAGTTTTGGATGACTGGACCCCAGCGTATCCGTTNCAAGGGATATAGGAAGCATAAGAAGTTATAACTTCTTATGATGCAACCAATATTCAATCAGCAAGGAGTAGGTGTAGGAATCAGGTAAGCCTAGGGACCCTTTAGCAATACTTGGCCTTTGAACTGAGGTGGTGTTGACATATGATGAGTCTACCTTGAGGTTAGTTACAATTGTGATTTATCATTGCTGTGGCCTAGTATACATCAAGGGGCATTAATGTGTAGCAAGTGGTTGCTACAGCCTAAAGTAGGCCTTTGTACCCATTTTAAGCAATCTTTGGCTTAATTTTTGTCATATTAAACAGGCACATCACTCTTGCTGATGGCCTCAGATGGAAGTAGCTCCTTTCCATTGATAATTATGCCAAACCCTTCCATTGGAATTGACATAAATAGCCTGTTCACTTCAGAGCATTTAATTTCTCTCTCTGTATGAAGCATGGAGCTTTCCTCTGTCAGGAAAGGAGATGATGTCAAAAATGTTAGCAATAATAACTTGGTAGGGCTAAAGCATACATGGATGCCATTTTAAATGCTACTAAGAGCCATTGAATTCATTCAACAGGATGGTGTAATCAATGAATAAGTTAAACACGAAGGGCTTACCATGTAGTAGGCCTCTCACAATTAGAATGTATGTCTCTGAAATGCTTTTCTCTCACCTAAACTTTAGAAGAGGCATTTGCTGAGTTTCTCATGTTGAAGGCATGCATTTCTTGGCCAATCTGGTAGTGAGGTGAAAAGCAATCGAATGGCATATAATTATGACAGAAAATGCTTTGCTCTGTGTTTTTCAGTTGCTTCTAGTAGTGCCTGCTGATTGTTTCATAATGAAGAGAGCTGGTTCTTGGTCAAATGGAATGCAATTGAAGAAGCTCTTCCTGGCAGAAAGCCCCCCTAGGAGTAGTACAACAAGACATAGACGTGTGACAGAGAAGACCAAGGAGCTTATCAAAGCTATTAAAGCATCAGAGAATGATGAATATTCACATGCTCATAATCAGACTGCCTCCCTATCAGGTGGTGCTACTGATGCCAATCATAGCTTAGATGTTGGGTCACATCAGTCATCTGATGATTCTATTTCAGAAGAACTAGGGAGCAGTGTCTTGTCAGCAGATCCAGTTTTTTCTGACAGATTTCTTTCTGTGACTGAGAATGAGATGGATCCATTCCCAATTAGGTCTTTCTTTGCTGAATTTTCTGATGCTCCTTTTCCTATGGAAGTTGAGTGAGATGTTGACCTCCCAGATTCTATTGTTGTTGAGCTTCGTGATTGGGCCCTTCATGGAATTATTTCTCATAGTAGTTTGAACAATCTCCTGAAGATCTTGCAAAAGTGGATTCCAGAACTTCCTACCAATGCAAGAACCCTGCTTGGAACATATGACAAAAGGTTTCCAAGAAATGTTATAACTGAAATGGATGGGGGTCAGTATGTTCATTTTGGTCTGCATGATGGGATTATAGATGCACTTGAAAAGTACAGGTCTTATCCAATTCCATTCTATTCATCAGTGACTCTCATGATTGGAAATGATGGTTTGCCCTTGCATAAAAATTCTGTTCACCATTTTTGGCCTACCTTATGCTTCATTCCAGAACTCCAGATGCATTATCCTGTCATCATTGGAGTATGGTGTGGTGAGGGAAAGCCTATGGTAGCAAATTTTTTTAGTTCTTTTCTGTATGATCTGTTGCAATGCCAGCAAGAAGGGGAAGTCTTTGTCGGGAAGCACATTGAGATTAGTGATGTCATCTTTATCTGTGATGCTCAAGCAAGGTCCTACCTCAGTGCATTGTGAATCACAATGGCCGTCATGGTTGTGAGAGGTGTACAGAAGAGGGAGCCTACATCAAAAGGCAGATGACTTTTTGGAAACTGAAGGGTCAGAAGAGGACTGACCACTCATTTCGTAAGCAGGCAGATCGCAAGCACCATATTGGTAGATCCCCGCTTCTTATGCTCCCCATCAACCTCATTATGAGCTTCCCATTGGAATATATGCATTTGGTTCTTCTAGGAGTTTTCCAGGGACTAATCAAGTTTTGGATGACTGGACCACAGTGTATCCGTTTCAGATCCAGAGCAGTAGCAATTCTTGCTCGTAAACTCCTCAATTGTAGGAAATATATTCCCTCAGATTTTGCACGCAAGTGTCGAGATATCCAAAGGTGGAAAATGTGGAAAGCCACAGAACTTAGGCTCTTTCTCCTCTATTTGGCTCCTGCAGTCCTCAGAAAGGTACTTCCCAGGAAGTTATATCAACATTTTCTGCTGCTCCAAGCTGCAATTTACATCCTTGTTTCACCTGTCCATCATTTGGAATACTGCATTAGGGCTAAGCTCTTCCTCCTACAGTTTGTGGAGCTCTGTCCTTCCTTATATGGTGAAGAAATGGTTGTGTACAATGTACATTCACTCATTCACCTAGCAGATGATGTGGAATATCATCAGAAGCCACTTGATGAGCTTTCTGCCTTTCGCTTTGAGAATTTCCTATTCTATATGAAGGGTCTCCTTAGGGGTCATCATATGCCTCTTCAGCAGCTCAAAAATAGGATGCATGAAAGAAAACACATGTATCGGCAGCTATCCCTTCAAAATCTAAAGAAGTCGTCGCTCCCACATCGTCCACTTCAGCTCCCTGTTACTGTACTAGGACGACAATTCAGAGCAGTCAAATTTGGTTCCATCACAATTAGAACATCCAGTCCAGACAATGCTATAATCTTGGTAAATGGCCAAGTTATGAAAGTTAAGTTCCTTGTGGAATCTCATGATGGAAAGAATCTGTCAATCATTGGGAGGTGTTTCCAGCATTATGCAGGCGTCAAGTATTTTCCTTGTCTTTCATTTGACTTGGGAATTTCCAAAGTCAAAGACTTGAATTCTCAATATATTACTGTGCACAAAGAGGATATTCTTCATAAAACTGTGCTGTTGCCCTTCATAGGGGCATGGCTTCTGGCCATTCCTTTGCTGCACACTGTTTGAACAATTCAGTGATGTCTTTGCCTGGAGTTTTTTTTTTGGAAGTGTCTTTGCTGCAACAGTGGCTGCTCATTGTGTACCTGAATACAAAAGAATAATTCCATGGATGATTATTCCTTTGATCATAGAGGTCTAAAAGTAAAATCCACAAAACACATGATGAGAGTGGAGAGGCAGAGGTCCCAGCAAAGGAGGAAAGCTCATGAAGGTACTGGTGAAGTTGCTCCATTGCATAGCAAGAAGTTGAAGACAAGGCAAAGTGCTAGCTCTGGTTCTAGTACTGCTGGTTCAAGTGAGGACATCCTTGCTGCTGTGGACTCTGATCTGCATTCTTCAGCACTGTATGTTTTGTTTTAGTGAAATTGCCAATCAGAATCAATGAATGGTGTAGTATTAGCCAGCGTTTTTCCTGCAGTTGAAAGGATCTCCCATCCTCTCTGGGAAACCATGACTGTAGCTTTTGCCAGGTTGTATTCAATATCTTGATAAGTATGATCACTTAAAGCTTTTGAAGCTAATGTAAGATGTGTGCTAGCCCCAGTTAAATGTCACTTTGCTCATGATAATGGGCCTTGCTGATCATTCCATGTTATGGTACAATGGCCACAATATGACAGTGTGCCCACTTTTCTAGTCTAAGAAGTGTTACATAAATGGTGTGTATTCCTAGGCATAACAAAGAACACTATAGTACTGATACTTATATATTTTAGAATGCCTAGATCAAGTAGAGGGCCCTCAGTTGATGCTGATGTGAGGTATTCAGTCTTCTCAAGCTCAAAGGCTGCCTCATCTTCCATGTCTCAAGGTCATCCTTTTGCTCGATCTTCTGCTGGAGGCTCATTGCCTCTCATGAGACATTCTCCTAAGAGTGCAGGTAAGACTGTGGCCCCTGGTAAAGTTTTCAGTTTTACTGTGAATAACATTTGCAATAAACTTACTATTAGACCTTCATCACTATAGTCGAGTAGAAAGAGGGCATGAAAAATATATACACATCTTAGATGAGGCTACTTAGAAGGCAACACATCTGAAACTTCCAAGCCCTCCAGACCCTGTTGTACAATTGACATTGTGATCTGTACAGAAATATACAGAAATGTTCTCTGTACAGAGCTATACTTTTCATTTTGCTGTCTGCTTCATTGCAGGCTTACCAGAGCCACTGATCAAATTGATTGTCCACATTCATGAGACTACAAGAGAGAATCATAAGCTCCTGAAATCCCTTCTTGAAGTCATTGAGAAAAAGCCATTTGATTTTGGATCTCATACTGAGCCTCCATTCAGCTGTCCACAGCTCCCTGTATTGGATGAGGAGGGGTTGGAGAAACTGGAGCTGTGTCTTTCTGATCAAGATGATAGAGAACAAATGGTGGGCTGTACACATCTAGTGATGCCTTTATCCAGGCCTGAGAACTATATCTAGAAAGTGATGTAATTTTAATGTTACTACATACTGTATTTTTGTATTGCATTACTGGAGGAGTCTCCATTTAAAATATAGACCAGATGAATTTGCTAAATCTACTCTGCATCTCAGGCTAAGGTAATTTTCATGCATGCATTCTCACAGTGGGCAGTAATTGTTAGTAATTTTACTTTTCACCTGTTTTATTTTGCTAAGGTTGCTAAGTATCAATGGGGCATTGATATTCTGAAATCATTTCCCTGTCAAAAAGAATACTTATGTGGACAGTTCCTTCATATCTATCAAATTTTAAATTATTATACAGAAGTTTAATAAATTTACAGTATCAAAAACAAACTGGTTAGACATGTATAGTCAACTTTTCAATTTCTTTTGTCTTGTGCTTATATTCCTACAGACTTGAGGAAAGAAGTTCATCATTAGTTGCATCTGGGTGTTTCTCATACTCAGGTTTAGATCTGGAGCTGCTATTGATAATTGCCTCTTCATTATATGGGGAAGCATTCCAAGAAGTAATTGATTTTCAGTTGTGAAGGTATGCATGCAATAAATAGCAACTTTTAATTTGTTCTGGATTCAAGCAATCTCTAGGCATTGTATTTCTATTAACAACCCACCGTATTCTACTGTCCTTCAGCAAACCATTCTCTAGTCATCATTTTAACTTTTGTGATCTTGATTGTAAAATGCTGCCTCATCAAATTCAGTGACGAGTCCTTGCTCAGAGTGCTATTTGACTATTTTCTTCAATAAAGATTCCCCTCTGTGTCAAGCTCTGTAGCAACCTGTGACCTAATGGGTTATAGAGAAGCTCAATATATGTCCTGCCAGATGACTTGAAGAGATAATGGGGTTCTGATTATTTTAGATGTTCTTGAAGGGTGTTTTCATCCAGAAGGTTAGTACAAATTAAAAGTTAATTTTGCCTATTGGTGTTCTAATGGAAAGTCCAAGAAATTATGGGATGACCCTTGTGTGTCAGAATGCCTTTGGCCTGGCATTAATTAGAAAGACAGTTGGAGCTTAGTATAACTTGACCGCATGGGTCACCATGTGGACCTAATTAGTTTTCACTACATATGAAGCTAATTGTAGTTTTGTCCTGTGAACATCAATGAATAATTGCTTATTTGTTTGTAATGACTGACTGTTTTCTTCATTTTTTAAATATAGAAGAGACTGCTGAGTGCACTTGGAGGAAGAAGTCCTCGAGAAATCACTGGAAGACTCCTTCAAGGCTTGATGGCAGATGACCTTGCAGTTCAGTTCAATTTTGAGGGAAGGGGAAGTAAACATGCATTTCGGGATCTCTGCACATTTGAAGTCCTCATTGGTATGATTCTGTTGATATTTTTCTATGAACATGGTTTATTATGTCTGTTTCCAGGGAATGGGTATGCTTTTGCTTTTTTAGTGTTTACATTGTACTTTGATGGAAATTGCTAAATCAATAAATCATAAGATATCAGATGCTGTTGGGCTGCACTTCAAACTTTTTCATCTGCTAACCTTGATATGGGCTTGAAGTTGACTCTTTGCCTACAAGACATTCAATTTTTAGAGCACGGGTAGCCAAGTTTCTGTACTGTGAGAAATGTATTTAGGAATTCCTTGAAGCTGCTTATGGAATGCATATTTTTCTGTTTGCACCAAGGAACCAATTCCAAAAGTGTCCAGTTAGTGATTGCTCAGATTTATTATTTTTGCAAGAAAAAAAGCTGGAAAATGTATTTTTCAACTGCTTCATTGTGAAAAATTAAATAATGACATGTAATGCGTTTCTCTCCCTTAGTACCCTTTCATGCCTTTCTTCACCCCTGGCTTACATTCATACAGCAAATTCACAGCTTTTTGAAACTCATCCAATGACCACTGTCCACTTCTTTTAATATCAGCCGTATAATTTTAGGAAACCTTTTTGTTTTATGTGAAGGAGTTTCCATCTTTCAACAGATGTTGGAATGAAACATGGAGTCACAAAGGCAGAGATGGAGAGGGCAATCAAATCGTGGCTCCGACATGCACCCGAAAGGGCTTCACGTGCAGGACAGAAAGTGTGATTTTGGTTATCAGTAATTGAATTAAACTGACCTCTTTAAATTGTAACACAGCTATCTGATCTGATTGCATTGACTTTTTCTTTGGCTAAATTTTCCTTGTTTGAATTAATTTTAATTGGAAACTGGCCTAGTGTTCATGTGCCTTTCCTTCCATTCCTTATTTACTTGTCAATCTCAGAGTTGAGTCTTGTCTTAATGTAATAAAATATCTGTATTCATGTTTGATTTGCCTCCTTTGGCCTTTTTCACAGTGGCAGCTCATGATATTCAGCATTAGAGGATTGCCAAAATGGAGATAAGGTAGGCCCAGGCCTCCCCTTCTTCCATTGATGATCCACTACTGCTGTATATCACAAGCCATCCATACTTGTTCATTTCCTTCAACATAATTTATTGGTGCAGAATTTGAACTTTCATTTGTGCCTACCATTTCCATGCAATTCTTGGAGTGAATTATTTCATGATTCCTTTGAGTGTTGTTTTTTCTGCCCATAAATTGCCATTGGTTCATTCTATGAACATTTTTTATTATAATGGACCATTTATGATCACCTGGACATTCTGTAGACATCCATGGGATGCAACTAGTCCCATGACTACTTGCCATGGGACATCCAATGGATGTCTACTGAGAACATCCCAGGGATGTCATCCAGCCATTCCATTTTGGCATCTACAGGACATCATATAGGGACATCCATGATATGTGATTCATCCCATGCTTGGTGCCATGGGATGTCCGAGGGATGTCAAATGAGTACATCCCAGGGACATCATCTAGCCATTCCGTTTTGACATCCATGGGATGTCATTTAGGGACATCCATGGGATGTTATCTTTTTTTGCATGGGATGCAAATGGGATGTCCCAGGGATGTTCTGTTGCTCGTTGGGGAGAGGATATCTTGACATCTTCAGTCGAACGCTTTTCGATATCTGGAGGAGGATGTCTTAGGGACATCTTAGGGATGTCTTTAGGCATCTTCAGTGCTCTGTCGCCTTCAACCAGGTGCATAGCTTCGACGGCAGATGTCTCCCGTGAGCCCTGATCAGCAACCTCAGATCTTTTCTATCAAATTCATCTACTTGAAATTGTCCTGAGGATAAGTAAGAATTTTCGTACCGTACATCAGGAAAACTGCCACTAGGGAAAGTGAAACAATTGTGGTCAAATTTTTTATTTATTCCGCTATATCCTATTTAATGATGAGTGATCTGCACGTCTGGATACGACTATCTTGGTTGGAGGCCTGAGCCCACACTATAAAAGGTGCACGGCTTAATCATCTGGTTCAAGACCTCTCGTCCCTTGGAGGTAAGCCTTCTATGATGGGGCCCCCTTAAGGAACATAATTTTTCTCTACCATAATCGTCACTCTTCAATCGATCAAGAACATAAGATTAAGTTTTCCTAGATCAACAAGAGGCATATTCGTAATGGGTTCTCCTGTGCGGTAGGAAATGAGTCCATTGCGGATAGGAAGGCGCCTGCAAGTGCAACCTGGGACTTCTCACTTGTCGCAAAGGGGATATCTCTGGGACATCCTTCGGATATACTTATGCTGCAAGAAAGAGACATCCTTGGGATGTCTTCTCTCCCAGACATTTTTATATCCCTGAGATGTCCCCACAAGTAATATCTGAGGCATGTCCCAAGGGGATATCCTTGGGTTATCTCTGGGATGTGCTAGTTCTTCAAGAAAGGGACATCCTTGGGATGTCAGGCCCAGACATTTTGATATCCCTAAGATGTCCCTACTCCTTGTCTCTGGGACATCGCACTTGTCTCAAGGGGATATCTCTGGGATATACCTTTGCTGTGTGGGTACTCGCGAACTGCACGAGCTAGTGTAATAGAATTTAAAGACAACTTTACAATGGTATGGAATAATATTTTACGAGTTCAGTAAAATTTTATTTCGTCTTCTGGTTCGCATTTAGGAATTATTCCAAGTGGCTCTCATTTGCATTTTGACAGACGCTACGCATTGGTTTTATTCAACTTGTCTTCCCAATTTTGACTTTCCCTCTGTGCTGCCCATGGTCAGACAAACCACAAAAAAACGATACGGTACTGGGCGCTAGAGGCACTAGGTTGCCTAGGCACTAGGCTCATAACTGCGCCCTTACTCTGGAACACTAGCTAACCCACCCTCTCATCTAAACCCTTCCCCATGTAATTTCAGTTAACAAGAGTAATTTCTAACTTTGGAGAAAACAATTAGTGGCAATTCAGAATTGTGTACACAATAGTGTGCCCAGGAAATCCAAATTGAGGGGGGTTGCCATATGAAACACTGATTACCCACCCTAATGGGTGGGGATTAACATATGAAAAAACTGATAACGCACCCTGAATATGTGGCCAAATAAAAAAATTTGAGTCGAACCTGTTGGAGCTCTGTGGCTGGGTAGTTCATGTGTGCTTGAGATTATACATTCGATGAATGTTCCCATGCACTTCCACTTTGTTCCTCCTTGGGGGGGGGGGGGGGGGGGGGGGGGGGGGGGGGTTTAAGACCCCCCAAACCTCCCCCCTTGGACACGTCACTGTGTATACATCTAAGCTTAAATCAAAACCAAGGGGATTGAGTCGGGCTTGTGCTTTAATATATTAGTGCTTAGGTGAATTTATGAAAAAAGTCATAATTAGTGTAAAGTTTTGATGATTTTCAAAATAAATTTTTATACCACTGATTCACGACAGCACAAATAGCAAATACAGGGTAATCCACTTTACCCTAGGGGTCTGTTTTAGCTTTGTTTCCCTTACATATGTCCCTGGAAATCGATGGGAACAGAACTTCTATATAGTGTATTACTGTCCACACTATATTTTCCTAATTTATAAAAGAATTTCACAAGAAACTATTCTGGGAAAAAATTAGCATTCATTCAATATCCAACTATGACACTTCATATATCTCACATCAGTATAAAAACAGTTCAAGATATAAAACAAAATCTCTTACTTGCAGAAAACTCAGCCTTCCAACATGGTTCTCAGCTCCAGTTTATAGAAAAAGGCAGGGTGCAAAAACCTGAGATCCTCAATGAATGATAATCATATGAAAAACTATCCTTCTATCACAGTTTCACGTGTAATGTAATTGAGCTCTGCCTTTCAAAACCATACGAAAAAGCACCCACTCATCACAACTTTCAATCACATAAATGGTTTTCAGGGAGCAAAAGGTACAAGGGAATTTGAAAAATGACTTACAACACTTATAGTAATGTGGTTTCTCATAGCTTTACACCATACTGAACATTAAAATTCAATATAAAACATTTAAAATGCCAACATCACAAGTACTAGAAGTACAAGCACCAATGTGAAAGTATGATCCATAAGATAATAAAAAGGGAATAATGACAAAAGAGGGTTGTACAGAATAATCACCATGTACAAAGAGAATGTTACAAACCACTACTTTGTACTCCTGTACCCACTTGCCTCATGCCATCAACCTGTTCTGTTTCATGAAATTTCCATCATCACACCATTTCTTGGGGGTATGAGATTCACTGAAATATGGCTTATTAAATTATATAAACTTTATAGCACCTAGAATGCAAGTTGAATGGAAGTGGCTCCCAAGACAAGGAGGAGGAAGAAGAGGAAGCATATAGAATGAGCTGTCATTGGCATGCAAAGGAGTTCAGCTCTGTATGATTTCTTTGCTGAGCCAGAGTATAGAAGGTAGGAGTCCAGTTCCAAGAGTGGAGTATCTTGATATCCAAATGGTCTGGACCTCATGAGGAGGGCCAAACTGTGAAGTTGAGAATATGCAGAGCTTAGACGGACAGCTTGAAGGACAGGGAAGGAGATCAGAAGTAGAATCAAGGACAGACGAAGGGCACTGAGTGAGGCAATAGATGTGGGGATCAGGGACGCCTTAAGTGCAGCATTCAGCCACACTGTATCAGCTGTGAAGCGGCTGATGTTCATCAGGAGAAGGGAACCAATGCCAATTGACAGCTCTTGATTCAGATATCGCAAGAATTTCTCTGTGTATTGTATCTGTGAAATGCAGGTTTGAATGGATACAGAATGTTCAAGGAGTTGCATTGCCACTGAGGACAGGCAGAGGATAAGAAGTTGGCATTGGATGCAATAATTGGTGATGAGCACAATCTGGACGAAGTCTCGGCAACAGAGAGAGAGGACCAAGACCCCCTTTGGAAGCACCACAAGGGATGGAGGAACAAAGTGGAAGTGCATGGGAACATTCATCGAATGTATAATCTCAAGCACACATGAACTACCCAGCCACAGAGCTCCAACAGACATCAATAGTCGCAGACGTCGAAGCATTGACTTCTGATGGGTCAATGTTGATGCAGAGGTCTGCAGGAAAGTACGCTCCATCAATGTGTGCAGCTGCTCATTCTCTGAGTACCTCATCAGGTAACAAAAATGAAAATAGGCAGCAAGGAGCAGACAGCTTGGTATGAGGTATATCAACAGGACCTCAGGTGCACACTCTCTTTCATCTACTTGAGATTGTAAAGATTGTGTAATATTAGTGGTTGAATTCTTTACCATAGACTTGAATGGTGGAAGCATTCCTCTGGTTTCACGATAACAAGAGAGATACTGTAGAATGTATCCTGACACAAGGAGAGCCAAAACAAAAAGGAAATACAAAGCACTGAGGGTGCGCTTGATGCATCCTGGCTCTCCTGCATCGGGCCAAAGTTGTCGCCATCCAAGAAGTGCCAATATCTGAAAATATGGCTTCAAGAGTCTCTTCTCACAGTAATAAAGGAGGGCTGAGGTCCCTGTGAGCTCGAGGGAAGGATATTCCATGATATGGGTGACTTCATTACTTCCACTGGATATGCTGAAACGCTCTATATCCTCATCTTGGATGAGCCCAAGGTGATGATTTTCCTGATGGTCAATAGCCATCTTCTCTTCCTGTGATGTTGCTGCATTGTTCCCAGCCATCAGTATCAATCCCTCCTCACACCTCAGCCCCAATGCTCACCTACTGATACTAATAGATCATTCTTATCAAATGACATGGACAGGGCATCAAAACTTCATGTGGGGGGACAATGATTGATCATAGATGCAAAACCCTTGCCAGGCTGATTTGCCATCCAGCTCTTTTCAAAGCTAGATGCAGGGTACATATTTCCTGCTAGTCTCTCAGCAAGTCTGAAAATATTGGAACTGGCAAATGTGGTATAAGCTCATACTCTAGTCATTTTCAGTCTAAATCTTCCCTGTGATGCATGCTAATAAATATAACTGACTAAATGTCCTTCCTTGAAGAATGAAAATTGTCACAGGGTTAATTTTCTTTCACATAAGCATAGAATGCTCACAGTCTAACGAGAGAGTTGCCCCATTGTTCAATAGTGCTGTTCACTATTGCAAATGATGGAAAGGGGCAAATTTCAGTCATTGAATTTCTGAAAAATTAGCCACTTTCAAGAGAAAAAAGTTGAGACTCTTTGTAGACTGTATTTTTGCCTTGACTTCCCAAACTTTTTATCAAATACTACAGAGTTAGTTTTTGCCTAAACTTGCATGTCTAATACATCACAAGACCTGTCTCAAAAAACCTGATGAACATAAAATATGTAGTCAAAATATATAAAAAGCTCAGAAATAAAAAAAATTGAGACCACCCTTATCGAAGCCTTTGCTTGTCAATAACAACAAAGTACCTGGCTTTTCTTTCACCCAATGAAAACAACTAATTATCTGGCTTTCATTCATTCAATTAAAACAACAAAGAATCTGGCTTTTCTTTCTTTCAGTTATAAAATGGATTATGGGTAACCCAATGAGCCTTATCTTGGGTTTGTGCAGCTGGATGACTTGTGAAGAGTGACTTATAAGTGCTACTTGCTTGAGGGTCTTTTGCAATGCTATATGAACTTTTCACTTTTTCAAATGCAGGATCCCGAGACAAGACTTTTGTGATGCCACTCTTCTCCACACTTGATCCAAAAGATTCCTTTTTCTCCATCTTGGACATTTTGGATGTACCAGGAGCAAAAGCATCTGCTGCTGCTCGTTTCTTATCACTCTTTGCCTCTGTCTTCTTCTCCCCTTTGGCCTTCTTCATCCTTTCCCGGCGCTCTGCCATCTTGGAGTGCATGAGGTCCAGATCTTCGTCAACAGCATTCAATATCACAACATCCTCATCAGTGAATGACTTCCCGCACTTGTGGCATGTATTGGTTTTCACAGCCTTCAGAGCTCGTTCAGACATGACACATCCACAGGACCACAAACAGATGAATTTGTACTTCCCTGTAAATCATGACAACAATATTAGTCTCAATCAAAAAATTAATGACATTATTCAAAACAAACACTTCCTACATAGCATTCCAACTGATAGAAAACTTATATCCACAACTGAAGTGTTGGCTGAAGCATTACAGATGGCTAGCCTGAGATGGTTAGCTTTTGAGTAAACTATCAATGGGTTTACTTATTTCACCTTCCAATATGCCATTTCTGCTCAAACTGATGTTGGCTTGAAAAGGGGAGAATCTGGTCTAAATGGAGGGGTGCTTCCATGCCAAAAACTTATGATTACCTTATAATAACATCCACACAAGCACACATAAATAGGCTGTATTGAAACAGTCTCAGCTTTTTCCATGGAAAAACAGACAGTTATTGAGGGGGAAAAGGATTGGCATGGCCTTTCTTTTTTCTGTCACAAAAAATTTTTTTTTTGTCTTACCATTCATCTCAATGCCCACAACAGGGCAGATGTATTGAGATAGGTGGGAGTCAATGTAAGCATCTCCTTTCTCCACTTGAGATTTCTTTACCCATTCTGGATTCTCTGTCAAGTTCAGTTCCTTAACATCCTTCAGGCTGCGAATATGCTGAATCCCAACAGGCATTGAACTCTTGTCCAAGAGACTCTCCAACACTGACACCTGGGGAGAGAGCAGATTTGATCCCTGCTGGAATGAGGCTAATAATTGCACAAAGGTTTTATTAAAATCCTAGAGAAAATGTATATCATTTTCTTTTTTTTTCAGGAATAAAGGCTTGCCTCTACAATAGCTTGCCAAGTCTCATAGCTAGAAAATATAACTCTTTGGCCAGCTTCTTGAAATGTCAAGCCCTCCCATTTAAGTGAGAAGACTCAACAGCAAATGTGGCAACCAGGACAGGAAGCAGTCAAGTATGAAGTGACCAACAGCTCATGCCACTTGACCAAGAAAGGATTCCTTTCCTATTTGGCTTTCAGTTTCATAATTTAAAAAATAATAATAACTGCCATTTTGCACTGAAGACAATTTTTCATAAAGCTGGTCAGGTAATGATGTGTTCCACATTCTTCATCAGTTTAACCTAAGGAATGGGACTGTTAATCAATTTTGCATTGAGTATGCAATCTGTTAACATAACTTCAAGCTCACCTTGTTATAGAGACGGCCTAGCTCGCAGGTCACAATAGGTTTTTGAAGAGCATCCTGTTTGATGGAACAGTGTCTCCATCGAAAGCGAAGTTCAGAATCTTTATCTTTTTGCTCAGGCTTCTTCTTCGTCTTCACCAACTCATCTCGACGTGGGATTGTGCCTCCATCACATCCCATTGCTCTGGCAGCTAATAACCTAACCTATACAGGCAACTTGGACCTAATACGAAAAATGCAAACCATTGACGGGCATTAGTTTTTTAAAATGATTACTGAATTCTACAGTGTCCACAAAGTCCCTTGATACTTCATTTCTTTTTCCTTCCAGTTCATAGAAACCATATATCCTATTGAAAGTTAATTGTGACAGACACTAGTCATTTTACTATATTAAGAGAAACTATGTGCCAGCATATAGGTTCACAAACTCAAGTGGAAAAAAATATGGGGGTAATTAAAACAGGCTTTTTTTTACATTTTGGAGAAGACTTACCAAGTGTGCAAGCTTTAATTGCTTGGAATAAAAAAAATAGTTTAATTCTGGAAGTATTACTGGTAGTAAATGATCTGGGCATCCTGGAAGCCAGTTGACCCTTCAGCAAGATGGCATATCAGCATATGCTGATGGTATCAGCTTGCTGCTCCTAAATTTTCAGAACACAACTTTCTCAGGGTCATGGATTGGGTGAGGATAAGACACAACATGGCCTCCACAAAGCCCCGATCTCACAGTCTCAGATAGTTTTTGGGAGATCATGAAGCAGAATTGTTCTCAGTGCCACATGTCCAAAGTGGATGGGTTGAAAACTGCCATCTAAGATGTTTTCTTTTCAATAAAACCTGTAACTCTAAGAAAATGTCAAATGCAACAGAAAAGGATTCAGTTATGCAAGAGAGCAATGAACAACATGCTGATGTCTTGGATGTGTAAAACATTGTTAGAAATGAATCATTAAGGTATCAAGAACTTTGTGGGCACACTGTAGATGCCAATGGAGAACTTGAATAAGTTCAGTATATCCCAAAATTCAAAAGCCTATCACTGACTGATAAGTCAAATTTTATTTTTTTTAAATATTACATGCTAAGGTTGCTATAGGAGCTCAATAGTAGGCATCATACGTTACATGAAAAACAATGATGGACTGCTTCCCATAGTTATAGACGAAAGATTCAAAACCTGAATCACCACAGCTACCCATGTAGAGCACCAACTAGATTTGAAGTAGGCCACACAAAAAAAATCACATTGAATTCACTTCAACCTTTGCACAGCTCAAGGATCCAATGGCTCCAAGGTTTTTTTTTTTTTACAGTTCAGTTTAGTCTATTTGGCATGTATAAAGTAGTGTACACTATGACAACCAGGAAAAATGAATAAAGAACACATAGGGAACAAAACACAACAGAAGGAAATGAAACAAAACTAGGGAACAAAAATAAAACAGAGGGGGAAAAACAAGGTAGAGGAAAAAGAAACAAAATAGATAGGGTTATGCACATGGAGGGAGAGAGCATTATGGATCAGAAAAATGAAATAAAGGGAGCACTATTGATTAGAGGCAATTCACATACACCTGAGAGTGTAATGGGGAGAGCCAAGGGAGTTAGGTCTGGAAGGATATCTAGAAGATGTTGTTTTAAGAGATTTTTTTTTCGCAATATTTGGACTTGTTTCAACAAGTGAATTTTTAATTTTGTCTGAAAGTTCACTCTAAAGTTTACAAGGCCTGAATAAAAGGAATTTGCTAAAACATTGTCTTAGTTGATACTCGTTTGAATTTAAGCGTTTCAAGGTTTTCTGTTGCTGATGATTAAGCGACCCAGAACAGGGTTTTCTGGTTCCGAGGAATGATGACTTTTAATACAGTGGATTATGGAAGGATATTTAAGATGGTTTTGGTGAAGAAAGTCTGCAGTTGTCTTAGTCTCAAATGACATCAACTATTTGAGTGCTTAACATGCTACTGAGTACTGAAGATTATTAATCTTTGGACTCCAAATCCTATCGTGTCTTTATTTCATAGTCACTGCGCCATATCCAGGTACAAAGCCTATTGAATTGGAATTTGCATTTATTTCTCATTGGGGGCATGGAATCGTGAGGTAACAATATACATGGCTGTACAAAGAGAGCTCGGCAGTGACTATAAAAGAGTTAACTTAGGCCTACACTTTATCCACAATAAACTCCTGGGATCCAGACCCATAGAAAGAGAATTTCCCCCAATATCACTTGTGGAGGCTGCCATGATTATCAGTGGGAAGGTTCGACCTTTTTCAAGATTCAAGATTCAAGATAGTTAGTGATATCAAGAGTCGATTTCGCCCATTTCGATATCACGTGTCGAGGTCGAACGTTCCTTAATTTTAGGGTAGGCCTAACCCTCTTAAAGCTAAATATTTTCTATTTTTGTTTCGTTTTTGTTTTTTTTTTGTTTTATTGTTTTTGATTATAGTGCATCCAAAAGTTTTTTTTAGAGAGATGTCACTGTAGTACGTATTACTTCCCATACTTGGGGTAACAATGGCCCTATGGTTGAGCCCACTTTACTCCCTTCGACATCATGTCAACGCGTCGGAGTAGGGGAAAATCTTTGACCCTTCAAGAACAGGAGGCCATGCTGAATATGCAAAAAGAGGGGAGGACAATTCAAGACACAGCGCGGATTTTGATGGTCAGCCCGGCGTAAGTTTCTAACGTTCGGAAGAGGAAACAAGCGAAGGTGATGGAGAAGAGGGGACCAAAGAGGATCCGGTTTTCGGCTATGGATTCCTTCGACATTGATGTCATACGTCGGGAAGTATATGCGATGTACGCAGAGACGGTATACCCGACTCTTGATTCCATACTTGCACGGCTCAAGAAGGAGGACGAGGATGGGGAAAATGTTCATTTCCCATATGGAAGAACATTTCTCCAACATATTTTATGCCAGGAATTGGGTTTCAAGTTTAAAAAGTTTGATCGGAAAGAGATGGTGATGCTGAAACCTCATGTTCAAGCTGCCAGGTCAGTGTTCTTGAACCAATATGCAGAAATA